CTCTGGTCTCTCTCTCTGGTGTCCCTCTGCTCTCTCTCTGGTTTCCTTCTCTGGTCTCTCTCTGTGCTCTCTCTCTCTGCTCTCTCTCCCTGGTCACGCTTTCTGGTCTCTCTCTGGTCTCTCTCTCTGGTCCCTCTCTCTGGTGTCTCTCTGGTCTCTCTCTCTCTGGTGTCCCTCTGCTCTCTCTCTGGTGTCCCTCTGCTCTCTCTCTGGTTTCCTTCTCTGGTCTCTCTGTCTGCTCTCTCTCCCTGGTCATGCTTTCTGGTCCCTCTCTCTGGTCCCTCTCTCTGGTGTCTCTCTCTGGTCCCTCTCTCTGGTCCCTCTCTCTGGTCCCTCTCTCTGGTCCCTCTCTCTGGTCCCTCTCTCTGGTGTCTCTCTGTCTGCTCTCTCTCCCTGGTCATGCTTTCTGGTCCCTCTCTCTGATGTCTCTGCGCTCGTTCTGGTCTCTCTCTGATGTCTCTGCTCTCTGTCTGGTCTCGCTCTGGTGTCTCTTTGCTCTCTTCCTCTGCTCTCACCACCTACAGGGGGATCAGCGAAGGACTGGTACTATGAGCCCTGGGTGGCAGCTCTCGTTGCCACTCCCTGACCCAGAAATGGAATAATGAAGGGGAAGAAAATAAATGAATGAATGAATGTTAAACAGATGAAGAAGAACATTCATGGATGGATAACTTTATTACAAACTTGTATTCCAGAACAAAATATAGACAAGACACAACACACTGGAAAAAGACAACATAAAACAATAAATCTCTTCAGAGGAGGCGACCATACACAGTGCAGATTTAAAACGAACATCACTGTAATCTCTGCTTGTCAACTATAAAATCATTAGATTTGCACTAGTTCAGGCGATACACAGTGGCAGACCCAGACTGCTGGCCTAAACGTGATTACATACATATATATTTTTTCTTTATATTATTATTTGTTTTCTATGTTTATTTTTTCACCAACTACGTTGGTTGCGCAGCTTCCAACTTCAGGTCGACATTTGGGAGGTCTGGTGTCTAACAGAGTTTTTATCCAATCATTGCTCGGCGTTATGTGTTGCTATGGCCCAAAATCTGCCTCTGGGCCTTCAGAGTCTACATTGCTGGCCCCCGGTAGCTTATAGTCAACAAAAACAAACCCGTGGCATTAACCAATCAGTGTCGAGTCTGTTTCCTGAGGGCCAGCTCGAAGGCCCTGCGCGGCGTCAGAGCATGCACCTCTTCCGATTGGATACGCGATACAGAGACGTGACAATGCTGACCCATGGATCTACGCTACGTCCATGTGATCACAGAAACACAAATGCTAATATGTATAGCTCAAGTTTTAGTTTTTCAACCCTCTACAGCTGAAGGAGGTGAATATATCGTTCTGGTAGATAGAACGCCTTTCTCAAGAAAAACTTAGACAGAGGGACCAGGAGAGCCAGGATTTTGCCCTGACCAGAGCAAACACGGCTGCAGCCGAAGTGAGGGTAAAAGCCGATGGAACAGTTTGTGAATAAGCCAACCTGCGGAGCCAGGCTAGTGCAGAAGACACGGAGCCGCGTCCATGGATCTATTATATTAACTGGATAGGGTATTACTAGCTTGTAGCTGAATAACCCATGTGCTCAGGGGATTCTCGCGGTACTGCAGACTGAACCAGACTAAATTCACGTGGGCTACCCAGAAATTTTCCCCATAGGACTCAATGCAAATTAAAACAGCTCGACCTCAGCTGACAGAGAACCTACAGCTTTCATAAAGGTTGGATTTTGTGGGGATTTTAGTGTCCCTTGTCATCCTGAACTTTTTTTCTTCTTAAATCCTTCGGTTTTGTTTAAATCCACACTTTAGTGCCACAAACTCTGCTCGTCTGGCTCTCGCTCTAACTCCCGCTCTGATGCACCGCTCTGATTGGTCAGAGCGCGGCCGAGCCCCTCTGTGCACGTGCGTGAGACCCGGTGTGAGACCCACACACGCGTGTTTGACGCAACGCATAATGGGAGATCATCCACTGCGCAGAACCGGGAGGACCAGACGATGCCCAAATACAGGCGAGTTTCCCATAAATCTTTGCGAGTTTCAGGCAACTTCCGCTAATCTTTCAGCCCCCATGCCGTCACAAAGCGCCACTGAGCACAACCATTCATTTGAATAGGGCGCCATCTTGGATCGCCGGGGCTTGGCCGCGTCCTGCCCATGGATCTATTATAATAACGGTCCTGCCTCACCACCGGTAAGAAACTAGAACATTAAAAGTCACATGTAATACTTAAATTGTAGTAGGACTTTCCCACATTAATGCTCAAAACTGGGTCCTGAACGCTCGTGTTGCACTCGGTCATGTTCTCAGATACTGTCAGAGAAGAAAGTTACGCAGAGTGCGTCAGGTGTGTGTGTACAAACTACAGCGAGAGGGGGGAATCTGTGGCACTAAAAAAGATCGCTGGCTTAGGACAGGCACAGGTCTGAAATGCACAGACCGCCACTGGCGATACATAAACGTGTACATTATGATCCTTAAGTTGGCCTACAGTGTGTTCACCTGAAAGGACACAAATAGTTCAGAATCACATGTTCATCTTGCCCTGTATTAACCTTGGTCTTTCATGTCAGGAGGTGAAATTATTTGGACAATGCACATTTTTATATGGACTTTTTGAACAATGCTAATGAAGCATTGGACTAGAGCAGAGAAAATGGGCTGACTCCAGCGGAGAAAAGCGGCTACTCCACCTCTGCTGCTGTGACCCGTCCTGCTCCACCCAGAGGCTACTCCACCTCTGCTGCTGTGACCCATCCTGCTCCACCCAGAGGCTACTCCACCTCTGCTGCTGTGACCCGTCCTGCTCCACCCAGAGGCTACTCCACCTCTGCTGCTGTGACCCATCCTGCTCCACCCAGAGGCTACTCCACCTCTGCTGCTGTGACCTGAAGGGCTGTTGTTGATTATTATTATTGTTAGCTTTCTGGTATAATCAATTTTATGTTTCATTTTTGCTTTTACAGGACAAATGAATATCAATAAAGTATCTATCTATCTATCTATGTCATAACTGCATGGTAGTGCCAAATCTCAATTGCTAAGCAGGACAGGGTATGGTTACTGCTGTGATGAGAGACCTCTGGAAACACTTCTGAAAGTGCCACAGTAGGATGGCTGCTTTGCGGGCTGTAAAGTCTCCTCAATCAAGAGAGATGGTGGGGTCAGAGGGACCGAAAGCACAGATTGGTGGCTTTGGTTTCATCAGTCTGCCCCAAGGCAGCTGTGGCTACAGTAATACTAGTTTATTGCTGTGAAGATTCTTTAAGTGTTATTACTTTTTGTGTTATTTCCCTCGGCACAATCTCGTTCTTTATTTAATTTCAGGTATTTTTGACAGATCAAAAACCTGAATTCTTACATTGGATCCGCTCTCTTCTCTGCAGATATGACCTGGAACTCACTTAAGTCACGTGTTTTCCTCCAGTGTTGATAAAAAAACTTGTCTGTATGTGCTTTAATTGGATCTTTAAATGAATGAGAGAAATCCCTTCAGTTTGCATTGTTTGGTCGAGCTGAGAATAGACTTCAAACTCTTCTCAAACATAAGGACGCATTAGCAGAGCTGTCAGCTGTCACTCGTGGCACGATTGGTGCTAAAATAGATTAAAGCGGCGGAGGTGACAGCCGCAGTGTCATATTTAAGTGAATTTCAGTGAAGCAAAAAGAGAAAACTTTTAATTAGAATGTGAACTTGCACTTCAGGACAAATGGGTCGTTATGTCACCATCCAACAAATATTAGCATTTCAAAAGTTTTTAAGATTTGCATTTACTCAAAGAATGCAATTCCAGCCTCGTCTTCAGTCCTTTTTTCCCCTTCATTTATTGAGTTTGTAAAAGTTTATTAACAGACCTGGAACTGTTTTGTGGCTCCATCCACCCCAATCTTCTGCGGACACAGAATCACATGTATCTCTTAAACGATAAAATATTAGACTAAACTTTATTGATCTTACAGTGGGGATATGTGCATGTTACATTTGAGGGTGTGACATCGCTGCAAAAAAGTGAGTCAAAAATTGCTCAAAATTGGCAAAAATGTGTCAAGATTTGCCAATGGGAAGAAAAATGATGACCCAGCGTAAGCATATTGAAACTATTTTTTGAATGGGAATTTCCTGCCCAGAACTTGAAGCTTTGCCCAATCATTGATCTATTCAGGGGCGAATCTTTGCCCCATGAAGATTAAATGACAAGCCGACTTCATTTAATGCTTTTTTCAGCATTTAATTGTAATTAAGTCTAAGTTATTGTGACGAATCCATACTATTGATCAGTCTGTGCGTCTTGGGAGATGGGTGTGTGCCCTTTCTAAATCCAGTCTGGTCTGGATGAATTATGGATGGCATGGGTTTTGTTGCATGTGTGAGGGTCTTTGTTGTGATTTTGAGGTCAGCAATGAGAAGAGAGATGGGGCTATGTGGAGAATTTAGCAGGTAATTACTAAAGCAGTACTAGCTTCTTTACACTTTTAGTCTCATTAAAAGATTCAGACTCACATTTATGTGTAGGGTAGGAAAATTGTATGTGGAGAGGGGAGGCTTTGTATCAGTTTGTGTCGGTATCAAACGTCGCAAACGTAGTCCTAAGCCTCGCCTACTCCGGGTTGAATGGATCTAAATTTTAAGTAAGAGGGGCACCAGCAGAGTTTGAAAAGTCTGCACAGATCCATTCTGCCTCGATCAGTCTCATAATCTGATAGGTCTTGAGCTCTATATCGGCCAGGGATATCATGAATTATACAAAGAACACTGACGACTCTTAAAAGTTAGCGTGGGTTTATTAACTACATATAAAAACGGGAACGGTAACCGGGAGGGATCATACAAGTATGATAAGTCACATGAACAGGAATGTCAGAAACACATCACCATCACACACAATACAACTCCAGCAAGTCTTACTGTTACTGCCAAGTCCCAGTGGTGAAGATGCTTCTACCCGTTTGGGTCAGGCGGTCAATCACTTCAGTCTTCCTCACGCACGGAGAGCGGGCGCGCACACACTCCAGTCTTTCCCACACACGGGAGCAGGGAGCGGGGATCGGTCCCGGGAAGCCCAGAGGTGGCTTGAGGCGCGATGGTCCACGGTGCTCCTTTTGGTGGGAGTTGGAGCGCAGTTTCGCCGCTGCGGGACAGGCAAGTCGAGTTCATCTCGATAGGAAAAAGGATCGGGCAGCTGTCCGGGCAGCGAGCTCCAACCTGCGCCGGGGTTGAAGTTGTGGGGCCCTGGATCGCGCAGGGGAGTGGGCCGCGCTCCAAGACGCGGCCCACTGGCCCTGAGAAAGTTTCAAAGAGAGCTCCCAAAAGGTTCACAAGCAAAAGTTCACACAAAAGTTATTGTGTCTCTGTTTTTGTTCCGGCTCTGGGGGCGTGTCTTATGACGTCGACTTTCCGCGCCTCCAGAACTCCTTTTATGAAATCATAGTTTTAACCACATACACGTTACTTAGACATAGACACACAACACACCTTGTTCACAGACAATGGTACACACGTTTTCTGATTTAAGATGTTAGCAAAACAACATATTCATCCGTGTTTTCAGTTGTCCGTCTCAGGTGTATTGGCGTCCCGTGTCCACTGGGGGGGGGGGGGGGGGGGGGGGGGGGGGACGCCGTTGCCGGCCCATGGGTGATGTCTATGGCTTTGTTTGAGGCGATGCAGACCCACTGGCCCCCCTTTGAACTCGCCGGGGGTGGGGGCCAGAGGTGTGCTCTGGGGACGATCACTGTCTTTGAGATGACTGCTGTATCTATGTGAGCCATTGTGGTGCTCTATCCGACCTCCATTGCCTTAGATGTTCCGAGCCGTGTGTTTTTGTTATCTCACACACAACCGGCTTGGCCGGCTTGCCTGGGTCATCGCGGGGGGCAGTGCATTTTATTACCTTACAAATGTGAATGTACTTGTAGTCTGATATTCTGGAATTACAATTTATTTCTGTTTTTATTGACTGCCAGCCGTTTTTGATGATTTCACTGATTGTCAAGGCCTGCAGAATATTATGGGCTATGACTATGTGGAAGTCTGAAACCAGAATCTGAAAGACTGGATTGTCTACTTTCATCAGCAAAAATACTAGCTATTTTTTTCTCCTTTAATCCCCAGTCGAATAGAGGGAAGTTTCTCAGGAAATTCCGTCAATGGCAGTCAATGAGTTAACCAAGTGGAGAGCGTATAATCCAAAATTGTTTGACTTCAAGAAGGATGATGACAAAATTATATTATTTTATAAAGATACAATAAATGTCTTTCTTGAAATGAAAAAAATAAAGCAACAGTTCTCGAAATAAGACTAAATGGCTTTGTCCCTGTGGCAAATCTTGTTATAAAACCACATAATTCAAAGGATTATCACCTCATTTTTTGCAGTGTGTTTATTTCTGTATCCGTCTTAATCATTCATCTCTTATTAGCATTACTTAGTCTCCTAGCAACAGCATGAAATTAAACCGTTCCTTGAACAAAAGACAAGACATTTTCTAAAAGGTGTGTGGAATTTTAAGCAGAAACACAGGAAAAAGCAAACAGATGGGACAGAAGGCACCGACAGAATCCGTCTGAAGTTATTGCTTTGAGAACCTCTTTAGGCTTATATTTCTGCCTTTGTGCTACAATTAACCTTGCCTGCATAAAACATATTGATGTGTTGATGCAAACCTTTATGGTCCAGCTGAAAACAAAACATCAGCTTATTGCATTTAGCCCACAGAAACAAAATAAATGTGTTATGCCGCCTCCAGACTCTCTCAATTAAAACATTATGAAATTAGGTTTTATGTCTAATAATGGACTTTCACAGCAGAATCATTAACAATACAAACTTCTTTGCAAAGTTGGTGGGTAAAGAGTCTAGAGGCCATGGCCGAGCACCACAGTATGTCTACATTCTACAATCAGAATTCTTTTCCTTGTCATATTGAAAAATATAAAAATATACCTTATCATTTGAACAAATATTGGCATAACTGATTACGCCAATATTTTCCTTGTCGAGGCAATAATCTTAACACATCCAAACCTTACTGCAGACAAAATAAGTCTGAAGGTGCGAATGTTTGGACACAATATTTCTGCTAATGAGAACAACAATGGCATAGAGTTGTCAATGTATAGCATTTTGAGAGAATATTAAAGGAGAAAAGGCCAGAGCAAGAACTGGGACAGCCTGCAGACTTTATCTCTTTAGCGCTCTTTCATAAGACTTTTTTGTTTTCATTTTAATGGATACAGCAAGAGCAGAACAGATTTCAAAGCCTTACACATGACTTTTTCTTCACATTCCGCCGCCTTTTATCCAAGCAGTGTCCTGGAACCCTGAAACTGATTGATCCAGACAGACTAGTAGAAAACAACAGCAGCATCGCGAAGACCCGAGAGAGACAGATCAGAGAAAGAGAGACTAGAGAGAGAGACTAAAGAGAGAGATCAGAGCAAGATAGACTAGAGAGACAGATCAAAGAGAGAGACCAGAGACCAGAGAGACTAGAGAGAGAGACAAGAGAGAGAGATCAGAGCAAGATAGACTAGAGAGAGACCAAAGAGAGAGAGAGAGAGAGATCAGAGAGACCAGAGAGACAGATCAAAGAGAGAGACTAGATCAGTGAGAGACTAGAGAGACAGATCAAAGAGAGAGACCAGAGAGACAGATCAGAGAGAGAGACTAGAGAGAGAGAGACAAGAGAGATCAGAGACAGAGACTAGAGAGACAGGTCAAAGAGAGAGACTAGATCAGTGAGAGACTAGAGACATATCAGAGAGAGACTAGAGAGACAGATCAGAGAGAGACTAGAGATATATCAGAGAGAGAGACTGGAGAGAGAGATCAAAGAGAGAGACTTGAGAGAAAGATCAGAGCGAGAGAGAGAGATCAGAGAGAGAAACTTGAGAGAGAGATCAGAGCAAGAGAGAGAGAGAGAGAGAGACAAGAGAGAGATATCAAAGAGAGAGAGAGAGAGAGACTAGAGAGAGAGACCAGAAAGATGGACCAGGGAGAGACTAGAGAGAGAGAGCGTACATATTGTATTGCAGACAGTACTTTTCAAACATTGAAAACAAAACAAATACTCCTCCTCCCTGATGTGTTTATTTTTATGTTTTACTGACACAATAAACTGTCAAATAAACAATATCCAAAAGGAGAGATGCATTGTACCAGGTTGTAGCAGTTGAGCAGGTTGAGTGCTACACCTGTCGTCCCCCTGGTGGTGGCATAGAGAGTTACAGGTATAAAGCATTTCTTTTTTGCCCTTCATGCTCGTTTCACCATATGTTTTAAGATATCATACACATTGTAAAACATGAAATTGTATCATTAGAATTTCAAAGGCTAAACATATTAGTATATTCCTTCTTTGAATTCACCTTGCCTTTGACTTTGTGCTTTTTCATGTCATTCATTGCTACTGCTATATTCGCTCCAGGGTCTCCAAGCTGCAAACATGAACATCCTTTGAAATGCTTTCACAGATAACCACTAATTTATCTCCACTCAAACAGCAGGGAGCAAAGTGGAAAATGAGCATGGCATGCACCAGACAGACCTATAACCCAAATACTGGACCTCATGCTGAGTCGGGTTTCAAAATAGTGCTTTCATGGCTTTGGCGAGGACTGCGCTTTAATTCCATCACTTTGAGCCTGAAATTAGTGCAAATAACAGAGGGCTCTATGAGGATTTGAGCTAAATGCAGACATGAAAACTTTAGTGTAACCCTTTCAAATCCAAATCAAGCATTTCCATAACACTAGAGCCACCGTCCATCTGTCTCAGAGCCGGATGATTTTCTTGTTTGTCTTGTTTTACTGATATAAATAAATACATCATTCTAAAAGTGAACACAGAGCTAGTCAGACAGTTAGCGCAAGAACAGAGAGAAGTATTGGATATTCCGAGAGATATTCTGTATAGCATAGATTTTGTTCAAAGCGTGAGTCTGAGTACGGCTATAAATAATGGCAACTAATCTAAAATAGTTGTGAAATATTTTAATAAATCAATTCCACTTACGTAGATTTAAACGCTGGGAAAAGGTTTTATGACACAGATGATTCTATAGTGACTACAGATTGAAGCGCGGTGTCTGAGTGGTTAGCCGACATTGTTTGCATGATCACCCCACGTTTTCGTAGGTTTCCTCCAGGTGCTCCGGTTTCCCCAACCACTAAAATCATGTACTATAGGTAAAACTCAACATCCCAGGCATTGTACTACGGTGACCAGAGGAGAAAGTTCCCTAATTAACCATATTTTTAATTGAACAACCCAATGTGTAATACTTTGGCTTTGATTCGGTCAAATGTAGAAGAAATCCCATGTTCACTGACCTTTCAGGAACTTAACAACTGATTGGTTTATTATGAAAAATAATCTTCCAATTTATAAAACATCAAAATAATCGTTAGTCACAGCTGTTCTTCAGGCTGATTTACCAAACAATAAATACAGTATATCATTTTGGAAGATTTTTATTTGTGGTTCAGATTTGATCTTTTCTCAAACTCCAGATGGGTTTTCAATGAGGAACAATAGTATAACATGCTTGGACGAACACATAAAGTGTAAATGTATAATGAAGTAGTTTTTATTATACATATATTTAAAACCAGCTCAACATAGTTTTACATTTTTATTCATTATACATTCTTTCTTATACATTTCTTCTTCTTACACCAGATTCTTCTTCCTGTTTGCTACATGTTAAGTATTGGCCTGTTGGCTTTATCCATTTGTATGAACCTTTATCAAATACATTTCTTTTTACCTATAGGGACTTGATGTACACCAATCCAAGTTCTCTCCAGGCCTTGAACTGAAATTATTCTGAAATGTATGCTTCTTGTATAATTTAACAGTTAAAGTTGCTCCTGGGGTGTTTTACAATGTGTACCCTGAATACAATCATGCTTATTATATTTATTTGCCTGAAGAAAATGATTAACTTCTAGAGTTTGTGTAAGCTCTCAGTCATATGGGGATTATTCAAAACAAAGTAAGGTTGCTAACCCATCACCTGGAGTGTAGGTCTACCACGGTGATGGCAAGCCCCGGCGATCCAAGATGGCGCCATATTCAAATGAATGGTTTGTGCCGGCATGGTTGCTGACATATTAGCGGAACTCGCCTGGAACTCGCAAAGATTCATGGGAAACTCGCCTGTATTTGGGCATCGCCTGGTCCTCCCGGTTCTGCGCAGTGAATGAACTCCCACAATGTGTTGCACAAAACATGCGTGTGTGGCTGTCATGAATGGCACAGAGGGGCTCGACCGCGCTCTGACCAATCAGAGCTGCTCATCAGAGCGGGAGTTAGAGCGGGAGCCAGACGAGCAGAGTTTGTGGCACTAAAGTGTAGATTTAAAGAAAACCAAAGGATTTAAGAAGAAAAAAAGTTCAGGGTGACAAGAGACACTAAAATCCCCACAAAATCCGATCTTTATGAAAGCTGTAGGTTCTCTGTCAGCTGTGGTCGCACTGTTGTAGTTTACATTAAGTTCTATGGGGAAAATTTCTGGGTAGCTCCAAGCTAGAAATACCCTATCCAGTTAATATAATATATCCATGGGTGATGGGCAGTAGCGTCGCTACTAGCTTAACTAAATTTTTCCGTAGCTTGACGGTGGCGTTAATATTTATAAAACCAAGTAACTTTTTTGTAGCAGAGCTATTTTATTAATCAAGTAGTGCAGTAGCGTCCTCCAAAGCTATATTCTCAAGGACATGGGTTAGGGTTAGTGCATTACAGCATTTTCCTGCAGCCATAACA